CAGATTGTTGATGACTGGTTAAATCTTGTAAAAATCAAGTTTCGTGAAGAACCTGGTTGTTGTATTGCCGTTCATTGTGTTGCAGGCCTTGGGAGGTAAGACTGTTTATTTGGATCTTTGTAAAACTCTACATTAATGTGAAAATACTGACACTTTGAATTATCCTAATTTTTAAAATTAAGTCAATATTTATTGCTTGTATTACTTCAGTAGCAAGTATAGTAGATGATATTCTGGATTGGGGATGAATTTGCCAGAGTTTGATTTCAAAAAAATGACTTAACCAAAACTCTTGCCTTACCAGAGCTCCAGTGCTTGTTGCTCTCGCATTAATTGAAGGTGGAATGAAATATGAAGATGCAGTACAATTCATAAGACAGTAAGTAATGGATTTGCTTTTCATTTAATTTCAGATTAAGGTGAGGGTACCGACAATTGTTAGGTAGAATCCCTGTTGTAGTTGTGTCCCACACACAAGAGGTGTGCCATATACCCTTAACACTGTGCCTATTAAGTGGGAGCACACCAATTCTGCCTCCTCTCTACTCCCCAACTTGAACTGAGTTTTTCTCTTAGATGGGCAGTGTATTAGATCATCTGCTGGCTTCATGTTAGTATTGAGTACATTGGATACTTACTTGCTTTTCCATTCTTATGATACTTTTAAAATAGTATTAAAAGCAAGAAGTAAGATTTTACCCCTGCTTTGCATTTCATGCAGATGATTACTAACATTCTGATTCAACTATGTTTGAGTTATTTTGCTTTACGTTCTTTTTTTTTTTTTTTTGCTTTAAATTCTTAATTGAATGTATTGCCTGTTGGCTTGCATTTTTATTGAGGTATAAGTAAGAGAGAATAAAAATGTACAGATCTTGAATAGAATATTTTGAATGCTTCAAGACAAAACCTTTGTGGCATTATAGTCCTAAGCTCTGCCATCAAAAACTTCTTCTTCCTGACTTCTATCACCATAAATTAGTTTCGTCTTTTCTTGAACTTCATATAAATAGATAGATGAATTTTGACTTGTAACCCCCACTCAAAAGATTTAGGAAATTAACTTTTACTTTTGTTTTTCTATTTGGACATGTATGCTTATCCATATTCTTTTCTGTATCAAGTCATAGACTAATAATTCAAAATATTTAATTGCCATAAGAAGTGTATACTAAATGTTACTGTAAATAAGTATAGAGGGATTTTGCTTTAATTGCTTTCTCTCTTTTTTTTTTTTCTCCCAGAAAGCGGCGGGGAGCTTTTAACAGCAAGCAACTTTTGTATTTGGAGAAGTATCGTCCTAAGATGCGGCTGCGCTTCAAAGACTCCAATGGTCATA